ATTATATATTTATTAATACAACTGACGCTTTCTTGGTTCCTGGATTCAACAAATCAACGTATTTGTGACAAATAATTTGTCATTCCCTCATGAACAGAAATCGAATACAGGGAAAACGATCACATGTTTCTCTTATTCATTATAATTATCTACAAGTTCTTCAGCAATACAAAAAACTGAAAGCAGTTTTCAAGTGAATCCCATAATTGAACTAGAAAAGTAAGGAGCTTAAAAAATTATATATAAATTTAAATAAAATTTCAATGTTATTTTTTCTAGCTCTTAAAGACATTTTTTACTACGGCTCCTAACTGTGTAATCCCCATTCCAGTCTTTTCCCATAGGAATTGATTTTGTTAACTGTTGAGTGGCTGCAATAATTTATCCAAACTCAAATGATGGCCACCACAGTAGAGTAGGGAAACGCCGCATCGAATGGCATACAAATTACAATTAATAGAAATTTGTTGAGCATCAAGTTAAGCCATTGGCAATCCGAAACGCAGGAGACTACGCACATTTATGGGCTGCGCACTTAATTTTTGTTGTCCCATTTGTGCTCATCTTAATTATGGGCCAAACTTGTGTAAGTCATGGAGGTCATAGAAACGACAGCACAGATCGACTCAGAGTCAAACCCAGACGCAGACAAAGCGAAATCAATTAAATTTTTGCAAATGACAGCACAATGGACCAGCAGCACAGGTATCGTCAGGTGAAACTAGCAACAGAACTGTGCGTAGGTAGCAAATACTTGTCGAGCAATTTATCGAAGGCTATGTGTGTTGCAGAAACACGCCCCTGGGACTCATTTAGCTGCGGAGTGGGACCCCACAACAACCCCGCACATTCAGCCATGCTAGATCGAAACACTCGAACTCAGAAATAAAGGCTCATGGCATCATGAAAGTTTTGCGCGTTTGCCCATTTGCAATGCTTTTCACTTGCAAGCATATTTAATTTATAATGGCGTGGCTGGGCCAGACGTAATTATGTGGCGTTGTTGATAGTTGGATTAGTAATCACATTATATTATAATAAAATGTATCATATTATATTAATATTTTTAAATATTTAAATTAATATTTTCAAATAATTTTTTTGATTTTAACATACAATTTAAAAGAATGATCAGTAAATCCCCATGCCATTATGGAAGTTATAGAATGAATATTGCTATGAATAAAACAAGGAAAGACTTGATTAGTATCAAAAACTATTGTCTGCAAACCAGTTCTTGGTCACATATACATGCATCCATGTATGTATATGTGTATATTCTTCATTTAGCGTAGTCTGTCTAATGAGAAAACCAAGTAGTTGGCCTGCATATAATTTTTAAAATTTCAGATTTTTGTATACCAATGCATGCTTAATGATTTTTGCACATATACAGTAAAAGAGTAGAGTCAAGTTCTAACGATTATTATTATGTTATTAGTAAACTTCTATGGTTATAGCGCCTTCCGGGTATGACGGCGGTTCCTTGAGCGTCGGTATAATCAGATACTACTGTAATTATCTCCTGTCGATGGAATACATTAATCAATACAAATTTCGTCTTATGATCTTAAATAATTGTGTTTCTATAGTGCATGAATTATTTTGCAACAGCTTTAAAAGCGACCACACGCACAAGCGGATATACGCCCAACCTTCCCTTTTAACTCAGTGAACAAGTTAAAAAAATGTTTAAAGCAAAGTACACAAAGTCAATAGCTGGCTTCAGAGGATGCCCGGTGACAGCTCATGACGGTGCTTCCCACAATAATAAACTCCCTCAGCCAAGGGCAGATGTGATGTCCGTGTCAATGGCAAAGGATGCCGTAAGCCGTAAGCCTTCGTTTGTCAGTGTCCTGCATATAATGAATATATGCGCCTACCATTCACTGAAGTGGGCTTACGTTGTTGCCACCAATTTATTTTCTTTCTGCCTCACTTTTTTTGCCGAGCCTAAAAAATAGTTTCACATATTTTTTTGTCAAACTTTCACAAAAGTCACTTATTTCTCACAAGAGCCACAAAAGACTATCTTATGTGCTGTTTCTTGCGTTATGCTTAGACTCTTTTGTTTACTTTCTAACTTTTTACGGCAAGGGTGCAGATTAAGCATGAAAGCTTTGTTGTTCTTAAAGATTTTATGCTTTGTAAAGGTAACAACAAAAAATACCAATGGAATGCCTTACACGTTTCTAAAATTCTGCAATTGAACGAGACAATAAAAAACACATGACAAAAAGAATAAGAAATATAAATAAATAAAAATTAAAAAATATAAAAAAAATAAAAAAATAATCATAATTGTGATCGAAAATGGAATACTTTGTAATTAAAATAATAATTTTATCATTTTTACATGGATATAAAAAGTATAGAAGGGTAATATTTTTATATTTTATATAATACGAGTATATCAGTTATTTCATTTAATATATGTATTTATTTTAACGCTAAAAAATACTACATTTCGATAATTGCCCATGCATTGTTAAGTGAAATGATATAATAATCTAAAAAATATTAGGGAACTTCATTTTAATAAACTTAGTCGATATATAGATTTGCCATACAATTTTAATAGTGTAAACAAAAATTCCTGAACATTTCTGAAGTTAACTTAGAAATGAATCCCACATATCAGTAATATTATATTAGGAAAATAAACACATAGACACATTGGATTATTGAATGGTAACAGTTTATTTAACTTGATGATTAATAATAAGAAATAATACTAATTGACACAAGCAAGCGACGTCTTAACATTTAAAACAGTTCATATAACTAAATTGCGCGAATACTTTATATATTCCATATGTATACTTATGTACATACTCAACGTTCGATTTGTTTCTGTGAGTTGTCTTTGCATTTGATACCGAAGAGCAGTGTATTTCGTAAAATGTAGGTGTGCATTATGGATATGAAGGTAATTTAATAGCTAAATAATCTCTAAGTTGTATAAATAATTTAAGACTAAATTAATTTATTTATTAATTATAGTAAGCCACTGACGTACTGTATACAATATAGTACACATATTCCACTCACGCATCGTTCTATGCACGAATGTATGTATGTATGTATGTTTGTATGCATGTATGTATGTGTGTACTTTAACTTTAACACTTAATGTGCGATTAGAGCTTAGACATATTCACTTATCGATTTCATAATTTTGATCAATTGCGTTGCATTCGTATGTGAACGATTACACTCCGCAATAGAGTAAATTGTGAAAACTAACCTAAATTAAATTAAAATTTATTTCAACATTAAGAGCATATCAAATACACTGACACAAATGAATCATTTATAAACGCTGAAACGCTTTGGGCTGTTGTTGCTATACCAAAAAGAAAACAAAAACAAAATATTACTTATTCACGAACAACGTACAACAATTCTACAACTAAAGCTGCATCAAAATCGTATATAAAATATTGCAATTTGAATTATTTGTTTAACTGGCGAGTACTTTTCGGCTATTGATTCGAATTCTATTATGAATTGAACTCAACTTCCTTGGCATAAGCTTCGTGCTGCATTTTCTCACGTAACCGCGTGATGTCCTCATCGATTCGAACGATTGCACGTATTTTCTGAAAGATTTGTAATAGGTATTAGATATACGGTTCCAATAAAGGTTAGTCTTGAACATGGAAAGCATCATTATCAATCACATATAATATAATTAATAATCACTAAGCCCTCTGCATTTTAGACCATAAACACAAATGGAATTTACTTATATCAATAGATTCATAATTTATAAAAATACTGTAAATTCTTACTTCGCATAAGTCTCCAGGCGTTCTTTTCCATAGCCAAAACATGTAGGCTGGAATGTACAGCATCGAAGACAATGCAGTGAACCAACCGAACGCATGTGCCCACCATGGATAGCTGTAGTCCAGATATTTAATTGGCGTCCATTGCACTATATTGAAGAAGAACACACCCTGCAGAAACAAAACGAAAATAGATTTCAAATATATCTGAAATTGGGTACTCCAAGTGACTTCCACTTACCAAGCATATTGCAGGCGTTGTGACACACCAGCAAAACTTCCACCAAATCGTTGGGTAATATCCAATCATGTCTTTGATGCCATCGTAGAARCGATCTACGCCGTAACACCACGATATTGAGACGCACTCAAAGAATATGAGCCAGAGCAAGCAAAAGCCGCTCACAGCATATGAATCAAGTATTTGGAAAATATACATGCCACCCTGAAATTAATAGACGTATATTACGTTGGGAACCATAATTAAAATCTTCCCTTGATTGGCCATACTCAAGGAAATGATTCATCATTCCCATCGAGTCTGATACTCAACAAAAGATTTAAACGATTTGACAAAGCAAAGCTCCTCATCTATAAATTGAGTTCACTCACTCAAATCTTTGCAATTAGTAACAATTATTGAGTGCATATCAATAGATATACACTATATTATATATACAGCAGCCAGCTAGGATAAATAATCTAGCCTATCACACACTTACTTGTGTTATGCAGGTTAGGCCAACCAAGTAGCTCAGCATGCATACGATGGCTATGAAGATCTCCTTGCGCTTGCGTAGCAGTTGGGGCCACTCGTCGATGATGGCAGTGATGAAGCCTTCCATAGTACAGAACTGTGAATCTAGACCTATAAGAAGCAGCATGAAGAAGAAGAGACATGACCAAATTTGAGATCCTGGAAGCTGCAGCACCGCCGACGGATACACAAGGAAGGCTAATCCTGGGCCTATAACAAAAGACAGATTATGTAGTTACATATCTATGCCATTAAAAAAGTTGAATAATACTTACCTGATGCCGCTACYTCGGCTATTGGCCTTTGTTGCTCGTGAGCCATGAACCCGATAACTGAGAATATGACGAAGCCCGCAAACATACTCGTGCTCGAGTTCACTGTGCATACAATCAGCGCGTCCCTAAATCAATGCATTACAAATATGTTTTCTTCTTAACGTAGCCTGAACTTACTTATACACATTGTTCGTAAACTTATTGTAACTGCCGAGGGCCACCAAAGTGCCCAAACCCAATCCATATGAGAAGAAGATTTGCGTTACGGCATCAATCCAGACCTGCAGAGAAATACGTAAGATGAAATACTGCATTCACTTAGATCTAATTTTGCATACCTCGGAATGAGTGAGTTTTGAAAAGTTGGGTATGATATAGAACTTGATACCCTCGAGTGCACCAGGCAGGGTAATTCCACGAATCAATAAAACGGTCAACAAAACGTATGGGAAGAGTGCAGTGAAGTACACGACTTTGCCGGTCCACTTAACGCCCTTCCAGATGCAGAAATAGCAAAGAATCCAAACCAGCAGCAAGGTGCCCGCTAGCTCCCAGCGAATATTACCCAAATCATCGATACCAGAGGAAATTTGCAATGCTCTTCTCCTGTAAATATAAAGTCTCAGTTAATGTCTAATCCAGTAAGAAATATGTATTGAATAATAAGTTAGAGATTACATTAATTTTGCTTCTAAGATATTAGGACTCAACTCGTCATTTACCAATTTTACTACTCCTCGAATCTGTTTCAAAAATATGTAATCTTGAATATGCATGTATAGGTATATATGTAGCGAATTCCTGTCGAAAGCACCGTAGTCAAAACCCCCACTGAAACATTTTCTTGATCAAGATCTTCAGATGCGTAAAGCTAACTTTATCCGTCCCATATATGCTGTTCGTCCATCCGGATGTTTGACTATTCTGGAAACTGATTCTGGTTAAACATTGTCCATTTCATATGTGAAAAGACTTGGTTTATGGAGCTTGAAGGGCTGCTGAGTTTCTAGATTAGCTTTCTGGATTCTCCTTTCCTTGATAAGTTAACGAAACTAATTTAATTATCTCAAGTATCAAATTTCCATGCAATTAGCATCTAGATTCGTCATAGGGGTACATTCAATATGTTTAGGAATAAATTCACATGCAATTGAACATAGTTAGACTCTTCTGCGAAACATACTCCCAAAACTCCTTGACCGGATCTGTAAGCTCAGTTGTCGAAATATTTACGGCTGCCACTGAGCAAACCTTGCCCGCTGTCCCATTGATCATCTTGTCCCAGCAATTGAGATTCTTCCTCTCGTACTGACTGACACAGCTGACTGTGTTCCACCAGTTGTTGCATGTGCGCCAAGGAACGTCTGCAATTGGAGTGTGTAAAAGAAAACTGCTTAGAGGGAGCCCGTTGGAGGGTTTACATGAACCTACCAGCACGCATGGACATGAAGAAGTAGAACACTGCCCAGGCCAAGATAACGATATAGTAGACATTCATCCAGCACGACATCACAGCCGCAGCATATCCAATTCCTTTCATATGAATATAGCATAAGCGTTAAAATTAAGACCTATTAGGGTTTCGTCTTAAGCTCAGCTTACCTTTAAAAATTGGAGCGATTTTGAACACGCCCAGGCCGCCGATAGTCAACATTTGACCCAGCGCCAGCTCCATGAAGAACATCGGAATTCCAGCTAAAAATAATGTCAAAATGTATGGAAGAATAAAAGCGCCGCCTCCGTTCTTATAGCACAAGTAGGGAAACCGCCAGACATTGCCTAAGCCAATCGCAAGGCCGACTACAGACAAGATGAAATCGAGTTTAGAGCTCCAACTTCCACGCTCTGGCAGGGTGACTTTGCTGAGCTGCAAATACAAGAGAAATATTTAAAAAATTGGAAAACTCTAAATTTATATCGAAATATATTCCCGTATTATCTATCGCCATCTCATCTACCCGTTTTATACCCGTTTCTCTATACGAACAATTGCTTTCATATAATATGCTAAGCATTTATTTACAACTCCAACAAAAAACGGGAAATGCCAATTAGTATAAATAATATTTCAGTGCCAAAGCTGTACACTGATTTTTTTGTTCTTTTTTTTTCGTTTCCTCTTCTTCTTGTAATGATCAAAACTGTTCATATAAAGGGATGGAATCAGAGCTATGTGCGCAGCTGAAATAGTAAAATGATGTCTCTGTGTGACATCGAATGTGGCGCGTGTTATTCGGCGTTACACGGCGCTCTTGCTTTTGAGTACTGTGTTAGTCAGTAAGAGAGTGAGCTGGTCTTATGTAGAATATAAATGATTTTATTAGTTTTCCCTTGCTTTTCGAACATATCCGATTATCTTTTAAAAATTCATTTTATGTAAGCTTAAAGAATTTTATATGCTAATAGGATTTTAAAATAAATGCTTGATAGCATTTATCGTTGAGTAATTCATTTGCTATAATAATTACAACAGATGAAAGCATCAAAAAATAAAAAAAAATATCTTGTTACATCATATGCATATCATTAATACATATATACAAATACTGAAATACCTATGAAATGATGTAGACAAGTAAACTTAATTTAAATTTAAATTAAAAATTAATTTAAGCTCTATCAATCAAAGAAAACATTTAAATATATATGCAAATTATATAGTATAGAATAAGTATAAATATTGTATGATTATTGTATAAATATTGAAATATTAATTTTCTGATAGTTGCATCAAACTTTGTACATTAAAATATTAAACGAATACTATATTAGCAAGGTATATATTTTATTAAATTATAATTAACTAAATTTTGTTTCTCTGTAATTAACGTACCTGATGGCTAGTTGATGTGGCTGTAGTGTCCGTTGCTGCTGGGGCTGATAAGTCTTTTGGGCACAATAGTTTTCCCATTTCGATGGGATCGTGCTTTTGTCGATCCCCGCCATCGCTATCGTTCCCGCAATTACTAGACATTTCATCAACTTTCTGCGCCCTATTTGTATTTCGATCTGTCTTCGATGATTATTCGGCGTATACAAATTTAGACCTGGGAACACACAACAGAGAGGGATTGTAAACAATTAATGGAATCGCGAGTCAAATTGAATAAATATTGAATCAGAGTTTCAAATATGCTTTGGTATTGAATTATATTCAGTAGTCCATAGGCACTTTTTATTGCGTATTGAGTCGGAATCTTTTTTTCTTATCAGTCTATATCACAAGAGAATTTCATAAAGTATGAAAAAAGGATATTATCCATTTGTTTGCATTGGTTTTTTTTCTGTACTTATACTCAAATCGAGTATGTACAGATTTATTTATTATATAAGCATCACAGCAAAACGAATCTTATTTTTCACGCACCCACGACACCCAACCGGGTCACTGGCTAACATCCAACTGAATCTCTCTCGATCTTCGAGCTCGGGCCACCGCAAATATTCATGAACAAAAGCCCAGTTGATGCCTATTAAAGCAGATATGCCAGTAATTTAAGCGATGCTTATGCGAAGCCAGGCCATGTCATTTTTACATACAATTTAATTTAATAATGATT